AATGAACTTGAGCTCAAACATCACAACCAGGTTTTAAAAAACAGAATTAATCAACACTTTAATTCAGAGGGATTTCTTATTTTCCAGTCACTGCAAAAGCTGTAATTATTTCATAGCCTTTGGATAAAGCTAACCATAAACTAGAGATTTCAGTGCAAATGACCTAATTCAATGTGAGGTTATGACATTTGAGTTTAAAGCTTTCTCCTTATGAAGCTAGTCTGCACAGGGGACAGTCTCGAGGCGGACCAAGCAGAGCACAAAAAAAACCGTTAGAAAATAAGTATGGGTTGGACTGAGTGCTACACTGGGCACAGGCAATGGTGTTGTGTTAAATGTTGCCAAAACCTCTGGCTTTTATTCTCCCTCAAACAGCATTAGAACCCTCTGACAAGCAATATAAAATCACTGAGATATGTCTTTTGTGTTTTCATGTAGACCATAACTATTTCTGACTGACGTCCACAAAAAGCCACATTTCTATCCTTTTACAAAATAGAGGATTAGTATACCAGCATATCATACTCTTTGTAAGATGTCCAGTTAAGTCTAGAGAAAGGTAAACCTCATATTTTTGAATCCACTGTGACAGAATGCCCCTGAAACTTGGCAGCAAGGAAGGCCAAGATATTTGGGCAAATGGCTTTTCCGGTTGGTGATGTGGCTTGGGCGGTACAACAACCCAAAGGATCCTGTTTGTAGTTCAGTGTCAAGGTCCTCCTGTCAGATCCATTAGTCTCGGCTGATGAAACATGGAAAAAAAGGCAATTTTGTCCTTACATACATCTGTCACTGTGGCCACAGATTGGAAGGACAGACACAACACGCCAAAGCTCCTAAATGTAATGTACATAACTTTGGCACGTAAAACAACAAATAAGCGGCCAACCCACTACCACCTACGTTTACTTTAACCCTAACCCTCAAAGTAGAGGTCTTGATCAAAAGAAAAAACCTAAGTCCTACATAAATAATTGCATATCTGAAAAAATGCGACCTGTACCATAAACCACTCATAGAAGTGGCCTCTACAAAATCGATCAATTGAACCAAACAGTGTTCAACCTCTACACTCACAAAAACCCCGACCACGCAGGAATAAGAAATGTACATTATTATAGGGATGACAACATAGCCGCGGGAAGTCATTTTGCTCAGGGGGTGCTGCCAAAAGTGGGGAGGGGGGCCGCTTAAGGCGGTGCCGGGCCGGGCCCAGCTGTCAGCGATACGAGTCGCATACATTGTTTGTTTAAAGGCGAGACAAAGCAGCCAAAAACATCGTTTTTCATGCACTGGTCAATTTTGAGATGTTGTGCTATTTTGATTCCATAACATGTTTTCTTTCAGACTTTTGGAAGGAAAACGTACAAAATACACATTTAAGTGTTTATTTTACTATAGTTTGTCTATTTGCGTCTGTAGATTTCTCCTAAATTCACCAAAAGTTAGCATTCTAACGTAACATAAAGTACCGCGACCGCTGTTTGCACCATGTCATCAGAGATATCGTTGGAAAGGTCTGTCTCTCCTACACAATCTCATCGGATCCAAATATGGTCATTTCCTTTGTATCAGCAACCAATCGTGAAAGCACAAAAGGGTCTTAAACCAAGAAACAAAATCTCATTGGCTGGTGTCAACTTCTGACAACGTGATTCGTTCAGATGCGTCACGTGGTGGTTATTGTGAAACACTTCACGTTCACAGAGAAGACAACAACAATTGTCACTTGCACGAAGCAAGATTATACAAAAAACAAATGACCCCGAACATGAAATACCTTCACGCAGTCAGTGTAGACCATGCAGACTCTGCAGTGACTCTGCAGTGTGTGTGTCACGTCAATTACGTCACTATCCCACGACCTAGATGACTCGGATTTTATTTATTTGGAAAATACATTCAAGCCACCGGACTGATACAAATATATACTATGACTATTATATGATACTGTATACAGCTAATTGTATTTTAAGGAAAATCATAACTATTTTATGTAGTTTAATCATTTTTATTTAGGTGGTCACTCAGTTGTTCAAATGTACACCACTCGCCAACAGGGGGTGCTGCAGCACCCCCAGTACCCCTACTTCCCGCGGCTATGGATGACAATGTCCGTTTGTCCGTTGGTTTACAACTATGGCCCGGAATAAAATAACCCAACTACTTGATGGATTGCAATGTAATTTGATAGTTCTATCATTGGGGAGACAATGATTCCTAAAGACACTGGCAGTGAAATGTCTCAACAACTTCAGACTGGTTTGCCGTGAATGTTGAATGTCCACATATGAAGTGAAGTTACTATTTTGTGTCTAATAAACTTTTATGTCTTATAAACTTGCAAAAATAATGACACCCCAATCAGCCATAGTTGTACTTTGTTTTTAATGCTAATTTGTATTGTTTAGCAATACTCTGAGATGCTGAATATTGTAGCGACCTGGTACCAGCATGTTATTTGCGCATAGTTGTGCATTCTCCAAATAATTGACCGCCATGTGCAACATCAGGTATTCCAAGAGAGACTTCAAAATGAAATCACTATCCGACACAGGTCTGTGGCTTTTTATCTCTCCTTAGTTAAACTCATAATAAAATATAACTGATCACATATGCTGATTATTTTTTTCCTGCTGGGACATTCGTCTCTCTAGACAATCTACGGTTCCCATGTCCAAGGAGGAAGCAGAGCAATCAGGACAGTGGCCCAGACAAGGGCCTCTACCCTCTCAGGGCCCATTATGGCCTGTCCACCCCCACCCTGTTGGTGCTTCATAAATCTCACCCTGCTAGATAGCAGTTCCTAAATTGCAAGATACGTTGACCGAAAAGTCAACCTCGAGGGACATGGCCACCCACGCAAACTCTTCCACATATACACCAACCCCCCCCTCACATATAGCTCGTGATTTACCCAGTTTTCAGTATGACAATGCGTGTTCTTGACACAGTAGCCACAATGAAACAGCTGGGTCTAGACTACCAAGGTCAATAACTTCTCACAGGGGCCAAACAACAACATCCGGCTCTGGAGTTGAACACATAATGATATAGGGTCATGCCTGCAGACACTTAAAAACTGCTTGAAATACTCTGTGCTGGAATGAGATACAGCATATTAATCTATGATACCATCTGTGCTCAATGTGTGGTGGAAAGAAATCAGCATGTAGAGTCTCTACATAGAAAACGTCAAAGGAAGTAAGCACATGCAGAACAGGAGGCTACAGTAAAGCCTTGGAGGCGGGAAGGGGGTTATGGGATATTATACTAGGTCTCAGATGTGTTTGTTTTGGGACAGCCTCCGAGTGATGTCATCATCATCATCACCATGGCTGTTGCTCCACTTCTTAGGTCCAGTAAATGACGACAGCTCTACATATCAACCACTTTGGCAAAAGTTCCTCTGAGTTCAGAAGTTGCTCATATTGCTGTAAGTACTTTGAATTATATGAAATGTTAACATCCAAAGTGGAGCTCTCAGATGAATCTGGTGAGCAGATGCTGTCAGGCCAGACTTTCAGAAACGGGATCACAGACAGGAACGGTGTGACTAAGGCAACATTATGAATATGCATCAAACAAAGCATTCAATAATGCATCACTCCAAAGAGGTTCGGGTATTCAAAGTTGCATGAGAAAAATTAATTTCCCCTCGAGTTAAGAGTTAACAGGGACACTTGACATTTGAAAACCTCAAATAACAAATCTGAAAAGAGAGCAGGAAATGAAGACATCCACGTCCTTGAAGACATCGACTTCCTCTGACCAAAAGCCACATCACAAAAGAAACCGTTTCCCATGCAACTTCTTTACTCTTGTCAAAACTGAATTCAACAATTATCTAATTTCTCCTGGCAGGGGATACATTTGAAAAGCACCAAGTGAAATGTGACTCATACAAAGAGACAGCGGAATTACAGAAAGACTCATCAAGGCACGTAATCAGTTAAAGATGTGCAAGATGAGATATCTGAAAGAAAATGTATTGACACACGTAATCAGTGTAAAGATAAGAGCGGGGATAAAGACAGGGCCAAGCTTATGCTGAGCTTTCTTGAGTTGTGCAAGCTGCTGGCTGTCAGTGGATGCTTGTATGGAAAATCATATGGGAGTGCTAAATAAAATATTTGACAGTGGGGAGGCAAGGTAAATAGTGAAGGCCTGCTTTTTTGGTGATGCAAATGTACTAGCAGAGCTCACTTGATTTGCAGTGTCACTGTAGTTCACTGTGTCCATACTGGAAGTGACTCTGTCCACACTATTGACACATTACATCATTTGGTCCCAGTTCCAAAAAAAATAAATGATAAAAGGCCTTCCCAGTCTTTGCTTGGTTTAGCCACCCAAAGCCTCTTGAGTTGTGTAATAATAGTAATAGTAATTGTGTATGCATTTTCAAGCTAAATGCTTTATTTTCAAGAAACTCGATGAGCTCTCCTCTGATAAACACAACATTTTAATTTGTGCTTTTGAATGTTAAAAAGCTCAATTAAATCAACTAAATTCACTTATTTATTGTAATTAGAACTTCTTGAAAATGGTCCTAAAAATTACTTCTGACTGTACTTGACATTGTTGTTTCAAACAGCAAGAGGCAACCTTAACCCTAACCCTGCAATTTCTTCACACTGTCTTGCCAAGCCCCAGCTAGGGGATGGGGAGATGGGGAGAAGAGAGGAGAGACTGAGGGAGAGCCGAGGAGCGAGAGGGAGGCTGCAATGAGCGGACAAAGGGGTTACAGAAGGAGGGAGTCAAATCAGGAGAAGGTGCTGAGTGAGCATGCCTCTCTGTGTATGTGGAGAATATGTTTATTCTTGTAATGTGTACTTAGACAGGGGGAGATACAAACAGGAAGAAACAAACCAAATGTTCTAACAACATGTCATGTTAAACAGAGCCACGTTTTCTTTCCTACTTTTCATGTTCTGTTATTGATGGTTGTCAGAGTTCAATGAAGCATGCGTGGCACAAAAACAAAACAAGAGTCCACTCACCACTTTCGCTCTTCTCGATCACGTCCACCGTCTCGCCGGCCTTGAGGCTGATCTCGGAGTTCTCCTGCCTCTCGTAGTTGGCCACGGCCACGTACTGCTCCAGCACCATGGGCTCCGAGCTGTCAATCCCTGAGGGGAAGAAACAAGCTGTCAGCCACCTGCCAGCCGTGGCCCCCCGAGATCGTCCCCCGCAACCAACTACACTGTTGCCGCCTCGCACCCGGTACGCCGCCATCGGCCAACCCCCGCTGCCTGCCGCTGTTCCTCTCTGACCAATCAGAACACGAGCTCGCGACTTGGCTGCATAGTCCCAAACGTCTGGCCATATAGCTGAGTCGACCCCCGGCCCACAGCAAAGGACAGAGGAGCATTGGAAGGAATCAAAACAAAAGGAGGGAACGGGATGAAAATATTTGCGGGGGCTGCATCTCAGACCTAAAGTAGATCCATGACCAAACTTAAAAGATCCAAAACAAGTGAGAAGAGAAAGAAGAAGTGGAGGAGCTGCTAAAGTTTGGAGGGGAAGACTGGGGAGCCAATGAGTGGAAGAATAGTGAAGTTTCCCTGTGGAAAATCAACAGTGCGGTTGAGAGGAAAGGCCTCCCCTCTACTGCCTTTGGGAGGCAGCCGTTGGATGGCGGGTCGGGAGGGGGGGCAAACACACCAATCATCATGGTAGTCGGCACTGCTGGCCTTAAATAGAAACATATGAGGGGACGAGAGAGAAGGGGAGAGAGAGGAACAGGGAAGGAGACTGGGTCCATGTTTATGTGAAACAAAAGAAGAAAGCATTTGAGTTGGGGTTAGGCCACTCTGTTTTCTCTCTCCCCTTCTCTCTGATGTTTAACCTCTTCATTACCAGCAGTGATTTCATTTACTCAGTTCACGTGGTGCTGATCTGATCCGAGCCTGACTCTTTCTCGTTGGCTTGTTTGGCAACAGAAAGATGACCCACACAGATTACACTTCACATCCTGTTGTGTTCTGGGTAAAATGATGTGATCAGGGACAGAAGATTTATACATACTGACAAATAAATACATCTTGTTTGGCCATAAGAATCTCCAAAATGTGTTCAGTGGGTTAATCAATGTTATGATTCCCCATAACTAAGCCTAACGTGAGTAGGTCCAAAGAGTGTCCAACAGCTGATCATAAGAAATCATCAAATGACTCCATCTACACCCCAAATAAAATATATTCAGAATGCTGTAATCTATTGATTTACTTATTGCAGCCCTAAACTTTGGATGCCAATGGTTTATTTAATAAGTTATTCTTTAAACATTAGCACATGGCAGGCTTTGTCAACAAGCAACTTCAAAGCCCCTTCAGCTTGAATATGGCCTCTCCACAACTGGGCACATGCAGAAGTTTGAATGGCTTTATTGAATATTTAAGCAATAGCTCACGTAAATATATTTATATTTATAAAACTGACAAGTCAAATCAAGCAATCTGATTGGTCGATAGTGTTTTTGCGGACCTCTTTGATTACAGATTTGAAAACATCGCTGCTTGCTTTAAAAGTAGCTCAATTCATTATGTCAAACCTTGGAAAGTATCTAGATATCCCTGCCCTAATGCCAAAGGAACTGCACACTGAATATGTGTCGCCGTTTGATGTCTATGTCTGGACCGCTGCGTAACAAGGAGGGTTTCTGCCCCGTTACTTCTCCGCTGCTTTCTTGTTCCAGTCTGAAAAGCAAACTGCAGGCAGTTTGCTTTTCAGCCCAACGGTATACTGTTTTTCTCAGACGCGGAGGGATACTGACTTGTTGTGAAAAGTAACTTACAATTCTACCCGTGGTATACGCTCAGTATATCACGGCTAAGAACCAATCAGATTGCTTGATTTGACTTGTCCGTTTTATAATGGACGTTGACCAATAGAATAGGAAAATAAAGCAGTCTGTAACACCTCATTTACCTCGCACTACACAAAACATATTCCTTACTAGAAAAAAGTGTTTCATGATTCAGAAGTGTAGTGTCCCACCACGTTAATGTATGTCATAGATTGTTTTCAAACACTTTTTGAGGGTCTACACAACAAAATTACCAAGATTGGACAAAAGTTGGAGCAAGATCAACTGAAATGTCTTTACATTAAATGTATTATTTAAAAAATAATTAAAGTTACTTTTTTGAAAGGAATCACTCATGTGTTCATCTATGTAAGTGAAAAATATCGAATTAGCATTTAATCTAAAGGGAAAACTGTGAACCACATTTGAGCAACATAAAAAGGCCTTCGAGGGCCTCTAAAGCTCAGTAATTAAAAGGTTGAATCAGAAACAGAATGTGCTGTAACTTGGAGAAAAACACCCAGGCTCCAGACCACAAGACCTGGTGTGGAACCATCATTCCTGCACTATAGGTGGAAGTGTTTGCTAGACGGATAAACTACTGTTTATTAAGTTGTTACGAACTTTATGTAGACTCAGGCTAGATTTTTTCCCTTTGCTTCCTATCATTAACCCATTCCTTCCTTCAGCAAATCTCATGTATCCCCCGAAAGAAAGAAAAATCATGTTTAACTCTGTCTACTTTAACTTCGGCTGTGTTAAAAAGTCCTGCACAGCACAATAATCCTATAATAAAAGAAGTCCTTGCTTGCTAGATAGCTATCAGACATAAAAAGACACATGTTGGCAAATAGATATGGAAGATTCTTCACCTAATGTTAAAAAAGAGAAGACAAGAAGGCCTGTCAGCAGCACCAGCAATGACACAAAACCGAACTCACGTGGAGTCTTTGATGAGCGAAAATAGGAACGCTGGCTAATTACTACGACTGATAATAAAAGTATGGAGCATTCTTTGTCAGCAAGTTTCTCCATATTCCCACTATCGACTGCATCTGAGATGAGAATTCTCTGCCGTCAGCCTCTTTGTCATATTGTCAATGGTATTGGACCTTGAACATGAATTGTATGTGTTAAGCTGTGCACATCCTGCAGGTTAGATGCCACTTTCCATACAAATCTAAAGGAAAATGTCTTGCTAAGAATCAATATAAAGTCAAGTGTGTGCTATATGTTCACAGAGGCAATGTTATAGTTGCATGAAACAGGTTGCAATGCATGTATTTAGGCAGCCTGGGAGAATAGTTGAAGCTTTTGCGCAGTACTTAAAACACAATTAAGCATCCCTCCATGTTGTTACTCAAATAAACAGGCAGGGAAAGATCATAACTTCAGCTCCCCACTGGCTCAGGCTGGGCATTCATCCCTGTCTTTCTTTAGCATCCTCCCCGGAGGCGGAATAAAGAAAAGAAACATGTTGTGGAGAACGTAAGCAGCCTATGTAGAGGGAGCAATCAAAGTCAGCCTGAGGTAATAAAGCAGCACAGATCCAGCGACTTAAACACTTTACACTGTTGTAATGGCAACCACGCCTTGTTGAGAAATAGCATGAATCCTAAAGACCTGTTACATACCACTTTTCCATATTCCAATACTTTTATGGCACAAGATTTCTTGTTGATGTCAGGGGAGTTGTTTCCTCCAAGTTCTTGAAATATGGTCATTTCCATTCAAAAGGGATTTCACTTTGTTATTCCTAAATAGTATTGACACGCTGATAGCTCTAACACAGGGTATACGCAGGAATCCTGAAGTCAAATGTAATCCCTTTTAAGACCTTTTTTAAGACCCTTTCCATACATTTTAGACCTCATCGCCACTTGGAGTTCTAACCGGTTACATTGGCGACACACTTTACCTCACATTGACTATATAAAGTATTGATTGTCCTTCCTCCTTATCTTCCAACCATTTGGACGCAGACTTGCATTTCCCCATAACGATGTTGTTTAACAACCGGCTTAAACGGACCTTCGCGCGCTATCAAGCAGTGAGCGTGCGATGTCCTGTTCAGATGACATCAAATCCAACGGGATGCCATAAATAAACTACACAGAATCCCACTACACACCTACGCAATGATTACATTCAGGCAGACTTTAGAATACAACCTCTTTGGACAATTTATATACTTATTGAAAACAAGCTACAACATGTAATACCTTGGAAAATGCCGTTTAATACTTTTTAATAGCCTTCATTTTCGCTAAATTGATTGATCAACTTTTAATACTTGTTAAGACCCCGCGGACCCCCTGTAATATAAGGAAACAATATGTGTGTCCGTCTCAAATACAGCTTAGCCTCAATCACAGTTAAGCGTCTTGAAGAACATTGGTTAAATATTCACCAGATGGGCGATCGTATTTTTGTCGTTTATAGGACAGAGAAAAAAAAGTCATTCCCTAGGACATCTATTTGCAACAGGGACGATTCTTTGCTCTCGACCCATCATTCCTATACTGTACAACCACAGTTGAATGAGGTCACAGGCACTGATGCAGACAAATGTAAAGAACCAGACTTGACACCTCATTTCAATCCAAGGCGCTTTGCCACATGCAGAACTAAAGTTCATGTTCCGGCCCTCTGGCACCGTGCCCAGCTGTTGTTGGTCAAGCAGCTCTGCAGGATGGATGGATAGACTGCAGAGAGAGGCTGGATGCAAGCAGAAGGGTGGAAGGAGAGGCTCAGGACAGCGCATTCAAAGCAGATGTCGAGAGAAAAAATGAAGTGTGAAATGAAATAAACAAAAAAAAAGCATAAGGGGATGCAGCTGCCGCTCTCACAGTGGTGCATGCTTATTCAACATGTTGACATAGACACACAAGGCTACCTGAGGCCTCTTTCCTCGGGCTGTCTGTAAAGCCGTACATCCATACTGCAGACGGAGAGAAGGAAGGAGAGAAGCAGAGAGATTATTCAGTTTGACAGCATGCAGAAGCCACAGTATGGTGAAGCAGACCTTCATGACATCTACTGAACACAAATGATACGGATAACTTGGATCCAAAGTTTATTCTTCAAAGTCCTGGCTCCCTGTTTGCTTCATGCTGAAGACAATAAAGTGCATCTGAGGGCAAGAGACTGGCCAATGTTTTGGTAACAACTCAGACCCTCCCTCCTTCAGACGCTTGCTCCACCCTTCCCATGGTCCCCTTTCCTCCACCTCTTCATATCTTTCTCTGTTTCTTCCATCCCTCTATCTGGACCTCCTGGAATGTCTGAGACGGGCGTCAGCTACTTCTTAAGTCATTCCCGACCCCGCAGCCCCCCTTCTCCAAAAAAACCTCTCAGGCCCCAACCAGGAAATTAAACGCCATGCATCAGAGAAGACAGGGACAAGACTGGAGTGCAGAAAGTAAAGCTACCCTGGTGTATCTAAAGGAAGCCGCGATTGGAAGAATGATTTGAGATCCAAATAATATTTTATTGTGTGGAAGTGAGCCAGCGTTTGAGCTGCAGCAGTTCAACAGACACAAAGAAACAGGTCACAACAATATGAAAGAACTGGAACAGGACAGGTCACTGAGAACAAGAAGGAATGTCCTCCACAACATTAGAGAAATGTCTGTTATCATCATTCATCTGGACTTTAATAGGACATATTATACAAATGTTCAGGTTCATATTTGTGTTTTGTGCCTCGACTTTGACATGTTAAAATGCTTTAATGTTAAAAAAAAGTATTTCAGTCTGCTCTGATTGAGTAGCTGACCTGCTCTGTTGTGATTGGTCACCCACTAAGATATGTCTTGCTCCGTAGCCTTTCACATACAATGTGCTACAAAGCACTAGCCAATAGAAGCGCAAGTGTTACATACACTATGGAAGCGATTCAGGCAGGGGGGGAACTTTTAGATTCAGCCTTTGCAGACCATTTACAAGCACACCTATCACACTACAGGAAAGAGACATTCCTAAAAGCAGAATAGTGCCTTTTTAATATCATCTTTTTGCATAGCACTTCACTTATTTGGATGTAACCAATCTTGTTTGAAGAGCTTTTAATTGGAAAACAGCAAATATATTTTAGCATAGGAGAAAAATAAGCTGACCTTACATGTTCTTAGATCTACAGCATATGGACTTTTCTACCAAAAACAAGCAAAATGGGAGGTTCTCTTTCAACCAAACTTTAAACTGGATGCTCCGGAGGCAGGCAGGCTAAACACATTATAACTGCAATGAGGAGCATTGAAAAAGTACTCCTAGTTTTATCACTCTAGGATCCATGAAAAACATTGAAACCCCTGGAAAATGCTCAACATTTAACAATGTGAAAACAGGGTGGGTTTCTAAATAATCAACTCATCTTTTGAAGAGACCCAGTTTTGATACTCCATGATCCTGGCGAGCGCTGCCCCTGTTGTGAGGCCGACAGCGCCTCTCCGTTGGCTCACGTGAGATAATAAAAGCCAAATCCCCTCTTGCTATCCACCAGAGCCTCAGGAGCTTTGCTGGATTGATGTTGGCCCCTGAGGGAGCGATACAGGCTGGTCCCAGGTCAGCCAGGGTCAAACCCCGCTCACTAACACCCTACCGTGATTATTACCCACCAGGCCACTCTCAGTGAAGCGTTCAACATCTGATTGATATTAACTCAGCTCTGGGCCCTCCATGCTAACCCCCTCCATACAACTAGACACACATACAGATGCTTAATTCCTTTCAGGTTTGGGTGATGACGCCATAAAGCAGCAGAATCAGCAGTGTTTTCTCTGTCCTTTTCCTGCTGTGGGTAATTTTCCTAGAATCCTGACCCCAAATGTCTCCATTACCCCGCAATTGAGGGCCTAGGGATGGTGAAAAATGGACTCTCTCAAGTAATTCTTTTATATTTGGATTGGAGGGCCTTATTAGCCATCCATCTTGTTTTTTCGGTTGAGTGGATTAGTAGATTGTGTTTTGAAAGAAAAGTTCCTGTTGCTGTGATCATCGCACACATCCAACAACTACAGTCCATCAACAAGCTAAGACCAGCAGCCTGAGGATTTTAAAGATATCTGTCTGTTCAAACTGATCCGCATAATTAAAAAACTTTATGGTATTTCTGCAGCTTTGGAGATCAAACAAACTAGCTGAAACATTGAAGATACACTCCCTGGTTTTGTTGAAGTGCTTCCAAACACACTGTTGATGTTTCCCTGACTTTGAACTTGTAGAATCTCTAAAGCCTGGTAAACCACTCTGTTTCCTTGTATACATATTCCAAGGCTTAAAATGACAAAATTGTACTCAAAATAATTAATTTATGCCCAACCTTCTCTCCTGTGGATGGCAGCAATATGCCTTCACTAAGTCAATTTAAGGGACATCAAAGAAGCCACAATTACACATTTCTATATAAAGCAACACCTGTAATGATCCCCAGTGCAAACAAATGAAGTATTAATAACTATTTTGTGCGCACACATTAGTATTTTAAGGGGAATGCTTTGAGGAACAACAATAAACAATAATCTACAGCCAGTGTGTGGAAATGTAAATGCTTACAACATGAAAATGTGAAAATGTTTAGCAGGTTTTTGTTTAAAGTTTGACAAATGTATCAGCCATGCTACTAAATTGGCAGGTACATTATGTCAGTGTGTATGTCGGCCAAATAAATTACCAAGAAGCTGCAGAAACGTGACACTATGGTCCACCAGAGGGTGTACAACAGGGGTGCCCAACCAGTCGATCGCGATCGACCGGTCGATCGCGGGGAGATTCCCAGTCGATCGTGAGATGTGTCTAAAAATAGAACAACAATATTCTGTTTTATCGTTAATGTCCTGCAACATAATCTTCCTGTGCCAGAATAATGCACTTGAACGCATCAAAGCTTTGTGATTGGCCGGCGTGACCCCATGTGTCGGGGCGTGGCTGGTGAGCAGTGGGCAGTGCACTAGTTCGCTAACGTTGTCCGTGTCAACAGGAGTGACAGTCCGCACACACACAAGACCGCAATTATGGCAGAAGCAAAACATATATCATTTTCACTCCGAGTGGGAGGATGATTATTTTTGTATCTATTCCAATTCAAAGTGCATCTGTCTCATCTGCAATGCGAGCGTGGCTTTATCGAAGAAGGGTAATGTAGGAGCGGCATTTCAAAACAGTGCACAAACGCTACGAGACGGAATTCCCTCCTAATTCTGCCCTACGCTCCAAAAGGGGAGGGGCCTGAAAGGACAGCTAAATGCACAGCAGTCCATTTTCACCAGGCCCAACAACAAGAGCAAGGCTGCTGCTACCAGAGCATCTTATCGTGTCTGTCACGTTCTTGCGAAACACATGAAGTCTTTCAAAGACGGCGAAGTTGTGAAAGAAGCATTCCTGGAGGCTGCCGATGCGTAATAAAAATAACAGAAGCATTTCAACAGGTTTTTGATATGATAAAAACTCAAGTTAGATACCGTTATTAATCAGCTGTACGTTTGAGTTTGTTTGAACTTATTCATTATAATTATTGTACAAAATGGTATAAGAATGCAAACTTAAATTGATTATAGTCTATTATCAATTCAGGTTAAGAAACTAGTGTTGCTTGCATCCTATTTTAAAGGCATTTATTTTTATAATCTACTAAAATGCAACAAAAAAGGGTTTGATTCTATTAATGTTGTCTTTTTTATTGCACTGTTGCAGCATATTCCTGTGTAGCTTCAGATCTGAGTTGTCTTATTAGTAAGCCTCATTTATACTTTTGTAGCAACACTATTTTTATATAATGGCAAAGAAAGGGTTCAGAGTCTTTTCTTTTTTTCCTGTGTCATATGTGGCAGCACTGTTCAATGTTTCTTGAATACATTACCCACTTATAACAACACTGTTGTGTAACTTCAGTTCAATACTTGTATGTGTGTAGATTAGAAAGAGGTAAGATAAAGGATCTGCAGTGTTTTATGAAGTATTCATCGTACAAAGGTCAGTTTTATACAAGTAGAAGTGTGTATTTACCTGGTAGTAGGCTGTCAGTAATGGCTACGCCTCTCTATTTGGACTGGTAGATCTCGGCAGACTAGCAACTTTAAAAGTAGCTCTCGGTTCAAAAAAGGTTGGGCACCCCTGGTGTACAATATCCAGTCTCATGATGCCTCTTGGTCACAATTCTTAAAACAAACAAATACAAAGGATCTTAATCAAGATTTGTAGTTGTTTTGTTTTTTTCAAATGTGTTATACTGCTGAATATTCAGTAACAGTCAAGCTATAATCATTAATTGGTGACCATCCTCTTAGTTCAGTATGTAAGCATGCTATCATTTTCTTACTGCCATGACATACAAATTAGCGTGAAAAGCCATAGGCCTATGGCATTCATTATGCACACATTTGTTCGTAAACTTAATAAAAGTATTGGTAAACGTACAATTTTGACCTGATTAGATGTGAAAAATCTCAGGAAGTTTCATCCTCTGGGGACCGTGCATTTCTGCAAACAGACAGACAAACTGATATTGCCTTTGATAAAGCTACATTGCTAGTGTGGCTAAATAAACTCCCTTACTAACAACTGGACTACACAACTTTGAAAACATCTAAGTAGTAAAAGAGAGAAAATATGTTTGCTTTGGGCTGCCATGAGGGTGTTTTTACAAGGTGTGAGAAATAAAGAGAATGAAAGGCAAGGCTAAAAGTGGGGATAAGTGAAGATAGAGGAACAAATGATGTCACTGAAGCTCTAAATTACACATAAACATGTAAGGCAGTTAGTATCAACACTATGTACTCACTCTGTACCCCTCAGTCTTCTCTACAAAAACATAACAACTAAAGGGGACTTAAAACAGTACATTCTAAGAAAACAGCCTGAACCTGCAGCCTCATGATGGCGCTAGCTGGTTAGCATACCCAAAGCTAACTGTAGCCGCTGCCACAACACAGTCAGGAGTTT